CATACTCAATCTGGCTAAACTATTTCCGACCACTGACTCCACACATTTCCACACTTCCTGAGGACATACCACCAGGTCATGGAGTGGATGGGGATTATTGTCAAAGACCCTATCGAGTGGGGTTGGTGTAGAAAAGCTGGAAGACTGAAGCCCAATCAGGATGAGTAGAGACGCTGCTCCTCCAAACCTGCTCAAGACCATCTCATGCAGATGCACAACTGGCGGTATGGGAGCGTGTGGCTATAGAAAGGCAGGCCTACATTGTTCCGCACTCTGCAAATTCTGTGCTGGCCAAGAATGCAATAACAGGGATGAAGTCATCGTCGACAATGAAAACGATGCCGATCTAGTTACTATTTCACAATTTGATGAAAATGAAGACACAGACTTGAATAACTCACCCCCTACGAAACGAGCGAAACGCATGTGATTGTTTTCCTTACAGTTCTCATTTCAATTACTACCGATTTGGTATAATTAAAACTTTGATTCTTACTATGATTGAAACAATGAACCTTTGGAAAATGTATTCTGATATTGAACATCCCCTCTCATCAGGTAGTTAATCAATTGAAATAGTACCTGTATCTCAAGCACCGCGTTGTGTCATGTGAAAATTCAAAGTAGGATTAGTATAAACTCCAAATTCAAGCTTAAACTGGAAAATCGTTAGCAATATGTCGTTGTTTCAACTTTCATTTCCACCCCTCATTCCGTAGGGTTGGTGAAAAAAAATGTACATGCATTCTTGTAGGTGATAGAATTCCCTACAAATCTTCTTCCGATACTCGTTCCTCTAGAACAGGCCATGAGTGAACTACAGCGTTCTGAATTGAGAAGTTTGACAAATTTCCAGAAAATGCGATTTTTTAATTTTTTCTACTATCAGTCCTAGGATCAAAATTCAAGACGTGAATTATAGGAAATGTAATCCTCGACAAAACTTAATGGTACTCTTTTGTAGCTTAAATGCACCATAACGATAATATAAGCGAAAATCTGTTCCGATTTTTTTCGGTTTTTTTGATATGGCAGTGGACGCGGAGGAGGAAAAATAGTGCATTTTGCATCTCAAACACTCCATAACTATCCTTGATAACATATCAAAAATTCAGAATCACCGTACCGTTTGTAAGGTGAACCTCCTATATTCACTGGATTAGAAGAAGTTACTGAATAAATACAGAAAGAACTCATTGAAATTCAAAATGCCAGTAACTGCAAGGATGATTTTGAATCGTATTCACTTGAGTCGTTTTGGCCTGTACAAGCAATCATTACTTTCACTAGACTGGTTTTCTCAAAAACTCATTTGTGTGAAAAAAAAATTTTTGGTTTGTTGGTGATTGAAAAATATGCAAGAAATCGTTTGAAAGTAATTGATGATTGCGTGTAGCTTCGAGTGACAATATCAATCCTAGGATAGCCGAACTCGTGAAGATGCAAGCCGAAGAATCACATAAACACAAATTGACAGAAAGTTGTCCTAAAATATAGAATTTCGATTTGAAGTTCCCGTTTGATTATAACAGTTTATTTTTATTATACCTACATACTGATCCCTGCTAACAAGAATAATATGAAAGTGTTGCCTGACCAAGGAAAGGATGAGAACTTCTGACTGTCTATAGCTTATTGACAAATATAGCTGTTGTGAAATCACAGGAGCAGCCGATATGAAATTGGTAGAGGTTCTATGATTACCTACTGTACACGATATTTCGTTAATCGGCCGATTGACTTTCGTTACATTCTGCTCTGATGATGTGACTCCTAATAGTGGACGCGCTTATGTTCAAAAAAGGGCTGTCGTGGGCTTGGAATGATTAAAGCAAACGACATATTTCAAATGTTAGTACTCATTTTATAGAACATCACATCACTTCTTGGCCACCCCAGAATCGCGTCGTTCACCCCCTGTAACCCTCTGAAGGGTGAAATATTCAAATAACTATATCTCGATAACTATTAGAGCTAGCGAGTTCGTTCAAACGCTCAAATATTCATATTCTGAATATGAATAACTTTCCATTACCATATATACTGAATGTTCGATATTTAGTGAGCTATTTTGAAAAAACCGACAAGTCAAGTGCAGCCCCTTCAAACATCAATATATAAACTCAAAACGAGTAGTCATATGAAAAATATTCACGTGTTGTTCAAGCTTCATTTTCATGTAGCTATTTGTGTACTTGCATATGACTGAAGTGGAATAATTTGAATAATAGTAGCTAGTGACTCCTCCACATATTCAGAAGACACACACCTGTTGTTTCGAATGACACACAGAACTAATACATATTTACTTTATTCTTCAAAAAAACATATCATTGAACATTGCTTCGTCAAAAAATATCATCCAAGTCGAACACAGATCATTTCCCTCTCAAATTTCTCCTTCGTCACTAGAAACGTCGTGATCCAAATTTATAGTGTGTCGTTCTGAATTTTCACAACGCTTTTCTTCAGCTTCACACTCACACATTTCTGTACATGGTAATTTATTTGTTACACATTTGCAGTGTTTTGTATCACATTTATTCTTTCTGCATCCACATCGAACTAAGTTCAATATTTCTGGTGGTGCACAATTCTCAGTACAGAAAACAGGTACGAGTTGTCCTGCCTCATCACTCAGCCATCCAAAGTCCGTATATAGGATTCAACAATTCGCTCCTAGGTATGTGAGAGCTGGTCCATATCGAAAGTTGTAGTCTTGCCCTGTGAAGAGCTGGATATAAGCTGCCTTTAGTAGGTGGTAATTGATCACTTTGTTGCTGCATTTTTGCGAAACTCCACCACCCCAACTCGCCTAAAGAGCAGATATTTGACGTTGGTGCATATACTCTGCAAATAAATTTCTCGAATATGTCTGATATTATTGACAAATCAGTGTGTTTATCCCCAAGAGAAATCAGTGCCTTTAGAATTTCGTCATCAGCTCGCTTGAATATTTTCCAAAATGATAGTTTACCTGCCAAATTGTATAATTAAATTTATGGATCAATCATGGAGACATATCGGTTACCTTCCGCCAGTACTATCACAACCAGAAATTGCATGTAATGCCGGAAGTGCTTCTCTTTGGAGTTCAGTTAGATTTCCTGACAAAATTTGTATATCAAGTTTCCTCCTGTGAATACTGGTACCAGTCACATAAAAGCTTTCATGACGAATCACTTTAGAATATTTTACTAATAATATCAATACGTCTGTGTCAGGTGAGAATATGCTGAGTGACACCGACTCTTTTGAAGAATGGTTGTTCGAAGCATAAATACAATGCAGGATAATTTTCGTATCTGCTTCTTCTTGGTTGCTCGCTAATTCTTCAATATGACCATTGCCAGAACAATAACAAGTATCTTTCCAAGCTACTATCAAAGTTTGATTTTCAAATATGTTACTTCTCACAAGTTTTTGCGAAATGTACTCGGTAAAACTGTCTTTAGTGCTATTATTTGATAGGAGGTCTTTCATAGTAATATTTGCTATATTACTGCAATCCTGAATATGGAAGTGCTTAACTATCCTTCTCGATCTGTATCTATTATGTCTAGTCAATTCTTTGATAGAATTATCTCTGTAGGTATCGAAAATTAAGTGTATTTCGTCGAAATGACAATACTTTTGAAAAATTTGCTTTTCAAAACACTTCCATAGATCGAAGCAGGTTTTGACGGTTTTGGTTTTCTGCAAAATATGCATTTCGGCCATTCCATCCACTAGAGCAATATTGAATTTCCTCGATGTATCTGTACCATCTGAGAAAACAATTTCAAATCATTGTTTTTCTGACAAATAACACACAAAGCAAAGTTAATTTCCGAGGACGAATCCATTTTTAATATAATATATTATTGTTCACTCAAATATTCAAAATACTCCTGAAGGATTTACGAAGTTGTATTTACACAACTTCACATATTAACAGTGATACGTCGACTAATAAGATTCAAGATTCATCTATGATTGATTCTATGCAATGCATGACGACGCTCGCAGACATAACGTTTAGTCATGTCGAAACGTGTCCGAGAACACGCGTTCTTCCGATTTCACAGCGTTTAATACAAGTTTGTATAATCGAAATTATAATAATGCTAGTATCAAAATGAAGCTGAGAGTGTAAGCAAGAATTTTCAATTGGGGCATATATTCGAAAAATTCATTCATTTCGAAGTTATTCGATAAAAATCGAATGGTATGATATAAAAATATCAGTTTTTTCGAAATATCTCAACAGGTGTTGAGAAAACAGTAAATGTCTTCATATAAAACTTCATTCACAATCAAAAAACAATCATTTTGGCGTCAAAACGAATTCGCTACCTCAAATAGTCATTGAGATACGGTCATTTGAAAATTTCACCCTTTGAAGGGTTGCAGAGGGTGAACGACGTGTATCTAGGGTGGCCAAGAAGTGATTTGATGTTCTATATAATGAGTACTAACAGTTGAAATAGGTCGTTTGCTTCAATCATCTTGAGCCCACGAAAATACATAAGCGCGTCCACTATAAAGCACAATCGAGACAATCGATATTTTTTCGAATATTCGAGTTATCGAAATCAAAATTATTAAGAATATCACACTTCACTGCAGTCTTACCACTACCTATACCGACTTTTTGAACGACTCGATACGGGTTTCCCCAATTATTATGTTATCAGTTACATCTTCTCTTTCTGAAGATGCTAATTGCTAACATAGTAAAACACGTCGAGGCGGCTGAAAAATCCGTTTGGTAATTTTATTAAACAGTTTATATATGTGCCTGACTATCCAATTCTCGTTACATTATGAATCCAATTATTTAATGACAGAATTACAAATTTGATATTCATATTAACGAAGTGACACCCTGTTTACTGCATTGAGAGATGCTTCATCTGAAGATTGTATAGCAGTAAAGCTTATTTTTCCATTGCAATAACGCTGACTAGGTGTCAAATATATACTAGAATCAAACTGGATTGAAATTCCTTTAATTAGTTTTGAGTATGATTCGTTCAAGAATGTCTTATTCGAATATATCTCATTGGCCTCATATGAGGAACAGAATTCGAAAGAGTTATATAAATGGGGAATAATCATGATTAATTATTTTATTGCGAATTAAAATTTACATATTAAAGGTAGAGTCCATGAATTCCGTGACCGTATACAGTGGGAGTAGCGATGTTCCTGCTGGTGGCAATGGTACCCGAGGGACCAGCAACAACTGTATCATGGGAATTGTGAGCAACTACGCCACTGGCATAAACAGATGGGACAGCATGAGCAGAGTAGGCAGACACTACTGGAGCAGAATAGGCTGATAGTACTGGAGAAGCGTATGCTGACACTACTGGAGCAGAGTAAGCGGACACCACTGGAGCAGAGTATGCTGATACTACTGGACCGGAGTAGGCTGATACTACTGGAGACGAGTAAGCAACTACTGGGGCAGCATGAGCGACTACTCCTGGATGTTCTTCAGTGATGATTTGACCGCCAGGTGCTGCGGAAGAAATAACGCTTCCATCTGGACCAGCAACTACACTTCTGCTACTTGGTCCCTGGATAATTCCAGCGTTGGTGGCTGCCAATGTGGCGAAAAAAGCTACAATTGCCTGAAAATAAGAATTTATATCACAAAATTATATAGGGAAAAATGACGATCATATTCGCTTGATCAACTGTCGACAGTGTTTCTCCACTTCAGAAGTTTCGTTATTATTATATTCCAATCAACAAGAGGAATGATAGTTGAAATATTGATATCGAAAAATCAGTATATTAAGGTCCTATATGGTTCACCATCAAAAGGAATGTTTGCAAATGATTACGAAATACATGACATTCTTATTCGTGTTTGGACAGCTCAAGTTAACTGAAATATCTTCCGATGGGTCGTATTCGTTCTGTCTGGATACTTCAAACAAAACAGTTTCAGGGTGTTCAGTTGATGTGAATATGTGACCAATGATGGACAATGTGTATTTCTTGGGTTTTGATTTTCCACATATAACGTTTATTGAAATAATTGATTTATCATCTCTATTGGAGATATCAGTTTTATTTCCAAACGAAGCCTCTTTCATCATTATCATGCCAATTTTGAGATGATATTTGGCGGATCATACAACATGCATATTAGAACAGCACAAAAAACGTTCAACATTAGAATTGCTGAATGATTTGAGGTTAAATTATAGAATTAGGTACGTAACAAGTATGTCAACAGAAAGCAACCCCAACTTTGGATTTTTAAATAAGACACACATGGTTAATTTCGACATTTTGATAAGGTGATGTGTGTGAAACGATCCACTGAATCCAAACCTGACAAGATATACAGTGTGTCTCATTCAACAATCAAAAGTTGGGTTTGCATCCTGTAGAATCGATTTTTTTGTAAATGAATGAGCAATTCGATATCCTTGCTGCTTTAACAAGTTCCAAAATACGATATCGAATGATTCAGAAGCTGCAGCACTGACTGTTTTCTGTGTAGTTCTCCATATTTTCATTGTAAAGGGATTGAATGATAATGACTAGTATGAGGTATGCCAATCTGGGGTTCGAATTCAAAATACGATGAAAATGTGTTATATGTTGTATTATGGAACACTTACCAAAGAATTCATGGTGCTTTGTGTAGGTTTCGATTGTTTTCAGCTACTGACTGATGTAAATTCTTACCAATTCGACGCTATTTATACAGAATCCAATTTGTACATTCGTGACCTTGCCGACGCCCAAATATTGAAGTGGAGTGAAAAAATATAGTCTATCGGATGAATTCAGAACATTCCAATCAAGAAATACAGGCTTTCATGAGAATCGCTATCTAAGTGGTGGCTTCGTCAGTTTTCATGAGATGAGGAATAAACAAAAAAAAATACCTATCCCTATCATGCAGTTTGAAGAATACTTTAAACCGGGGTGAATTCAATGTCGTTTTCAACATCATTAAATAATATGAGTTTTTTCTAGATGAAATGTTCACCTCGTTGAATTCAGAATATCATAATCAATTTCATTCAGTATTGGAATGTTCCATTTTGATGGAATGGATAACAATATAATCAGATTGTAGTTGGAGTTGAAAAAATCCCCATTAGTTCCAGATCGACCTTCGATCGATTCTTCAATTTTTGAAATCAAATAAATTATTGGCGGAGCTATTCGCCATCTTTTGTGTCATTCTCTGAAGGGTCTATCGTGGGTGAAAATTGATATATTTTGTTCGATATCTACATATACCTTTTATTCCAAAATGAGTATAGTGCCGATTCAACTCCTTCTGTATGAAGGGTAGAGGTATTCGAATGGATCTACTGTTATATTCATCCTGTTTTTCACTGATGTGGTCACATCTGAGTATTCAGAAAATTCAGATCCTCCGATGCTAGAAAATCAATGAAATGAATCAAATTGTAATTAAGAAGCAAGGAAAACATTTCATTTCAAGTCAAAAAGTGAATAAGTCACGGATAACAAGTGAATGAGTTACCAATGACAAGTGCTGTTTTCATCGATCTGAAATATAATGAAACAGATTGATAGTGGTTTACATTTCCAAGAACACGAATATTTTGGTGGCGAATAACTTGTTTTCTTGTCCCAAATGGTAAACATGTTTTTACTTGTCACTATTAAATATTAGTGATTTTTTTCTTCGTGTATAAACTCACCCTATTCTTTTAACGCTTAGTGCGCATGAAAGGGTATCCCTATATTGTTCAAAGAACATCGTGCGTACCTTGGGGTAATAGGGAGAGCAGGAAGGTGTTTATTGTTTTCTTGAACCTCTAGAGAAACGAGACATGTGGATAATGAAACCTACCAATGAATTATTCAATTTTCCACAAACTCAGAGAGCACCAAGAAGAAAAGCAAAAGTTGAACTGGGAAAGAAAGGTTAATGATATGGGTCTTGATGGATGAAGAAAGATGATGAGTTAGAAATCTTCTATGAAACACATTAGGAAACTTAAATAAATCTCTCATTTGATGGATCAGCTGATTTCAACCCTGAATATCGAGTTCATATAATATATAAGCGAAATTACATTTGATATTGTATAACCACCACTTGAAAAGCATAGATAGCAAACGTCAACTGATTCGAATTATTTCATCTATATTGGTAGGATTCTTCACTAAACAATGATCATCTATCCAGAAGTGGATTTTTTAGAAGAAACAATTACTTTCTTGGCTAGGAACATAGAATTTAGAATGATATCTGTCAAATAATGAAACTACTTGTAGGTATCTGTCAAATATCGAAAAATGTACAATAACTATTATTCGATTAACAAACAGCAAACAACTAGGTACTTTTCTCGTATCAACCATTCGTTTTTCCCTTTATTTAAATGAATATTGTCTATTCTAATCTAATCCTTCCGTTGTCAACCTCGAAAGATGTCGAACAGCACTTTATCAAGACTCCTCCATCCATAGAACGGCTAGGCTCTGGAATTCATTGCCTGTGGAAGTATTCCCAACAACATATAATCTCCAAAAGTTCAAAAAAAATTCCAATACCTACCTCCTATCCCTATCCTCCCTAGGAACGCACGATGTTCTTTGAACATTATAGGGATTCCCTTTCGTGCGCTCCAAGCGATGAAAAAAAATATATACAGGGTGATTCAGGTTTTGAGCTACAAACTGAAATAAGTGATTGATCTCATAATTCCAATAAAAAAGATCTTATTAACGGTCCTATCTCGATCAGTAGGAGATCTACAAGTGGGTCGAAGTTGAATTCTTTTACCATTGATTGAAATATCTCGCTCATTTCTGAAGATATCAATTCGGAATTTGGTGATCGGTCCTTGATTCACTTAGTTGTATTGACATAAATTAAGATACAAGACCAGTTCATGATATTATGTTCGAATATCTAATCCATTATGAAATTGTGAAAAAGAGTATTACATCGAGCTTCATGCGAGAATTCAGACGATATTCCCTTTTGCAAAAATAAGTATAGCTTGTTCTCTGAAATGATTCTAAGGTGTGTCAAGTTCTTGCGTGATCCATGAATTGAAAAATAATTTATTCGATCCGGATATCACTGAGAGCTAGACGTCACCTCTACACCTTTTATTCATGTTGACAAAAAATGGTCTGCCTGACCATTAGTATTGTCCTAATAAAATAATTACAATATGCGGTCTAAGGAACCAAAACGAATCGACCTTTATTGATGATAATGAACTTGATGGATCTTGCAAGTTGGGAAACAACTGAAACAAGGTCGAAGTTTTTTGTTGTGCGTACATAAATAGTAATTCTCATTGAGATCAATGTACAGTTGTGAATCAATTCATAAAAGAAAAATGTTTCATTTATTCTGCGTAAGTACTAACCTAAACCTGATTCGTATATGAGCGATATAATACGAATTGGCTTCTATTCATTCTGCTCCATATTGTTTTTAATTATAGTAGTTTTTAATATGTTGGATGAAAATTAAAGTAGAAAAGAAAAATATAGCAGTAGGACTTATATATAAGCCTCATGAACAAAACACGAACTCATTCATTGATGAATTCGAAGACAGTTTGATATCAGTATTTCCAACAGTAGATGAAATTGTTTGTATGGGGGATTTTAACTTGAATCTTCTCGACTATGAAAATGGTCTTGTGAAAAAGTTCTTCTCAGTCATAGAGCCCTTCGAACTGTATCAACATATTGATGTCCCGACTAGAATTACTGCAACATCCGCTACCTTGCTGGATTATGTTATAGGAAATAAAGAAAATATAATTGAGACAGGTGTCATATCTAACAGCATTGCAGATCACTCAATTGTATACTGTAAGATTAAGATTAATGAAGAGCGGCGAAATCCAAAAATGTGCACTTATAGAAATTTCAGAAACTTCAAAGAGGAACATTTTGAAAGAGATTTATTCAATACTGCTTTCTTTCGTATATATGATCAAGAAAATATCGATGAAAAAGTTTCATATCTGGTTAATTGTTTAAATGATTTATTTGATCGACATATTCCTCTAACAACCTCCAGAGTAACCAAACCCAGAGCTCCATGGCTAACAGGTACCATTGCTCTCAGGAAATATAGAAAGAGCCAATCTGAAGTTCATCTACAGTTCTATAGACAAATGCGTAACTTAACTAATCAAGCTATAAAAAGAGAAAAAAAAGCATATTTTACACATCAGTTCAATGGAAAATCTACAAAAGCCACGTGGAAGATCCTTAAATCAAACGGGCTTATGTCCGAAAAAAAAGCTTCTGATATTCCTACAAGTTTGAAAAATCCAACTGAAATAAATAACTTTTTTGTAGATTCAATTCCACACAACCAGCCTTCTGCAAATCTTATGGAATTCTATGGCAACAACAAACTTGTTGATTCTTCTTTTCAATTCAGTGAAGTCAATGATTATTTTGTCTACAAGACTATTTGTGAAATTAAAACTAACGCGAAAGGCTGTGACGGTTTGAGTATCACACTCATCAAACTTTGTTGTCCTCACATAGTGCCGTACATCACTCATATTATAAACTTCTGTTTAACAGAAAACGTATTTCCCACAGCATGGAAAACAGCAGTTGTGCAAGCTCTTCCGAAGAAACAAGATCCAACTGAATTCAAAGACCTACGTGCAATTAGTATATTACCAACTCTGTCAAAAGTAATCGAGAGAGCCATGGAAGTTCAAATCAAAACCCACATAGAACATTTTTCTCTTATACCATCAATACAATCGGGCTTTCGAAAAGGTTACAGTTGCACAACTGCTCTTCTTCATATCACTGATGATATTCTGAGGGCTACCGATAACAGACAATGCACATTGTTGATACTACTAGATTTTAGTAGGGCATTCGATACGATTCACTATGATTTGTTGTTGAATATACTAAAATACATAGGTTTTGCAGATGACGCACTATCGTTGATGGCTGCTTACTTGAAAAATAGACAACAAAAAGTATGCCTAGGTGAAGAAAGTTCCGAATGCCGGTTACTCAATTCAGGTGTACCACAAGGTTCTATCCTAGGGCCGCTATTGTTTTCCATATACACCTCTCGTCTCATCGAATGTCTGATAAATTGCAAAACTCATTTATATGCTGATGATACTCAGTTATATTACAGCTTTCCAGAATCAGAGAAAGACATTGCTTGTGAGCTCATACTTAGAGATTTGAATGCTTTCATAGAAGCTGCTACTGACCATTGCCTAATTATTAATCCATCTAAATCAAATGTTATGCTCTTTGGTCCCAAGAACCTGACACAAACGATGTCTGATTCTATGAACATCACTATCAATAATGAACCGCTCACGCTAGTAGATGAAGCAGAAAATCTTGGTGTTCTATTAGATACTGAAATGCGCTTTGCTAAACATATCAACCGACTTTTGCAACGCGCTTATGCAACTCTCAAAATTATTTATGGACATAGACAAATTCTTCCATCATGTGTTAAGACAATGTTATGTGAATCACTGATACTGTCAATATTCAATTATGCAGATATTCTTTATGGACCCAATCTCACTTTGCAATACAAGAATAAAATACAGAAAGTGCAAAACTGCTGTCTACGGTTGATATTTGGTGTGAGGCGACGGCAAAGAATATCACATAAACTCAAAGAAATTGGATGGCTCAATATG